AAAATATATATATATATATAATATATATATATATATATATATATATATATATATCCTATACACGTGTGTGTATGTCAATGGATAGAATTTACACATTAAAACTGATTATGAATAATTAATTTATACTAACTAAACATAATTTCTACTAATCAAATTATAAAAAACTATTCCAAAAATATCACAAGCAAGTCTTACGATTACTGGACGTTACCTGATTACTCATCGAATATAGTGATTTATTGCGATTACACTACACAATATAAAACTGTTTTACTCCATGGTAGTATAATGTTAGTGTAAGTAACTTTTTTTCCGAAATATTTCTCTCTATAATTTTGCTCGGAGGCTTGGTGCAAGGAGGTGAAGGGCTAAATTGAAGCCGGTTGGTTGGGTTGCGCAGTGCGACACATATTTTAAAGTCGAAAGCAGTAGGGACAATCAGCTTTACACGTACTTCCACGTGATCACCCCTATCATAGTCCCCTTCAACTTGCAATCATGTTTTTCCGAACACGAAGCATCTTTAGCTACGAAACTCATAATCCCTTCCTTCACAAGAACGATAGAAAGATCAAATAAAGATAAAGATGAGTTAAAATTCCGTAAGATAAAAAAGGAGGAATTAAGATCTAATTTAATGTTGTGTGGTTTCTGTTAGTATATTCATGCATAAACAAAGGGAAATCAAATTGTTCGGATCCTTAGAAAATAAGAATGATGAGTCTTTATCTTCATTGATTACCCTAAGTGGGACAGGCAAAATGATTTCTTCTGGTTCTGCAAAGACCACACGTATGATATAATAAGTGTAATGATCAAGGCACTAATATATCTCTTCTAAATGTGATCAGAAACTTAACATATGAGTAATGATGACTTTTACGAAACAAGAAAAGATTTATAGTACTATCACTCTATCAGAAATTTAAGGATTAATTGCATCAACATCCTTTGATTTATTAGTACCATATAGCAAATTGATCTCAAGAAACAATCAGACTTTTCCTACTTAATTTCCGAAAAATATTTAAGGAGACAGAATGCATTACAAATACTTAAATCCACCCATGTTACTAAAAAATAAATGTAATATATCTTTTTGCTACATAAATAAATAAACATATTAATAAAAAAAAATTAGCCGCTAAATTGTGTATATTAATATATATTTTAATTATTTTATAGAATTAAACTATTGTACAAAACATGGTGTTAAAAATGTTCTTTTTGAACAAGTGTTAGAATGGAGATACATCACAAATAAATTATTTGGTTTATGTATTTGAATGAATACTATAGTCTTACCAACCTAACATTTGTCCCTATAATAATACACTTTGTCTTCGAATACAAATTCCAATATTGATAAAGAGTTGTCCTTAATTTATGACAAGGATGGACTAAGTGGGAGGTCATGAGTCATGAGTCATGAGTCGTGGTTGTCTTTCTCTTGCATATGGAGTCTATAAAAATAGTTATAAATAATGATGGCAATCCCCATTCTAAACATTCTTGGTAACAAGAAGGACCTAACCGACAAGAGAGTTGTACTAGCATAAAAAAAACCAAGCAACCTAAACTGAGTTTGCGAAGGTGATTCATCATATAACTCTTTCGCAATCTATATTCTCTCTCCC